GACAGTTTGTTTACTTGTATGTATGTGTGTGTGTATGTATCACACATGTAAGAGTTGGCGTACGAACATCACACTTGCGACATGGATAAAGGCAGAATTTAATAAATATATATATGGATATCTGATACTGTTCCATGCTCCATGCTTTTACTACGAATTCCAATATCGATAAGCGTACTCAGTTTCAATGTAATTCATTACAAGTAGGAATTACTCATGTAGATTGATTGGACAGTCTAAGTGTGCCCGATAGAAGCACTTGAGATTACTAGTCATCACTGACTATTAGAATTTTCAATAACCACGTCAAGCTACCCCCAACTTCAATCAAGTTTCAACTTAAACACAAAAAGAACAAAGACGAAAATCCTTAAAAGATATTCAATAGAATGGGGGATCTTGACGAGCTGTATCTACATTAGTAAGTGCGAAGGAAAATCACCTTTCAATACATTGAATTACAAACAAATCGATTGCAAATTAACGTAAATTAAGTTTCTAATTAATCAGATTGACTTGTAAATAAAAGATGATGTGTGTTGTGACACATTTAGAAAGGTATGTTAAGTTAAGGTAGGTTGATCACGTACAGAGAATTCAATGAAAGCAGGATTAAGATTTGGCACAACAATTATTTTAGCACAGTTTCCTTATATTATCAGCCTATGACAAACCATATCATAACATCACGCCTTTTATCCCCGAAGGGGCAGGCGGAGGTGCACATTACGTCACTTAATGCCACTGTACAATGGTACACCCACTTTTCACTTTTATGTTTTGAATCCCATGTAATAGGGGGTGAGCCTATTGCCATATACCGGGCACAATTCCAGACTCCGTGCTACCACTGAGAATCTTTACAAACTCAGTAATACTTTGCCCGACCCGGGAATCGAACCCGAGACCCCTTGCCCAACAATCGCACTTGCGACCATTCGGCCAACGAGGCAGCCTATGACAAACCACTGCTGTGACAAATCATCCAATGACTTCTCCCGCCTGGGTGAGGCAACGGGGATCGTCAGACTCTTACTGAAAGAAACCATCCATCCTACTAATGCACTTCGAGCTGGAGCCCCGGCAATCCGTTAAGTTCTCCGCGGCTCTGTATCGGCATCAGCCTTCATGGGCCCCATCCGTGGTGGCTCTTTGAGGCGCGCGCGGATTGCGACAATAAATAGTTTAGGACCATTACAAGTGCTTTTTGAGCCTGCAGTTTCCAACTTGTTGATTAAACATAAATATATTAAATGCACTTGAGTCATTAAAATATATTATACTTATTTTTGACCATATCCCAAGTTAGGTACAGGTAGTCAGTTCACCATAAAATACATCTTCATCTTCGTAACATTGATAGTCTATCCATCCTTTCTTTTGGTATCCTCTCTCTTTCATTCTACATTGAAAATATTTTCTTTCTTTATAATTATATCATATTTATTTTTCACTTCTATGTATTTACGGAAAACTATGTTACTCATAGTACTACTAACAAAGATATAATTATCCTTTAGCTGACCCATACTGCCATGACGTAGGATGACCGATACACTGCTCTAATTAATTACTGTGTTGTGATGTCCTTAATTGTTATACCGTCACCATGTTTACCATGAATTTATATATATAATATGAAGGGTTTAATGATACTAAAAGGGCTAAGAGTCTTATTTATGTATCTTCATGTAATGACTGCTTCGTTGGCCTAATGGTTGTAAATGTGACTGGCAAAGAGTCTCGGGTTCGATTCCCGGGTAGGACAAATTACTACTGGTTTTTTTTTCAATGCTTAGTAGTAGCGTGGAGGCTGCTATTGTGCCCGGTATATGGCATTAGGCTCACCCCCTATTACATGGGACTCATAAGAAAATAGTGAAAAATGGGTGTTACATTGTACAGTGGCATTAAGGAAGAAAGAAAGAATGAAAGAAAGAAAAAAAGAATATTCAGCACTTGGCACGATGCAGCATAAATAAAATATAAAAAGACAATAAAGGTGTGACAGTAGAAGTAATAAAAACATAGTTGAAAAATTAAAACAGAAGAATTAGAAGATAGACGCTGACAATATGCCTATGCTAAATGCGTTATACCTACTCAGCATAACCTAGGCACACAAGTCATACCCTAGCACTGATTTTCAGTATGTAGGTACCCTTGCAGTGACGCACGGGTGGTAAAAAAGTTTTAAATAAAGGGAACGCAATCCTTACTTATATTATAAATCGGAAAGTGAATTTGTTTGTTTGTTCCACTTTCACGACGTAACTACTGAACCGATTGCTTTGAAATTTAGCATAGGTAAAGTTAGAAGTCTGGATTAAATAATAGGATACATTTTAACCCGGAAAAATTTGATATTCCCGAGGGAAAACAAAAGTATTGGTATAGATGGCGCTGTGTGTATTTGTATATGTCACATAGGCTACTTTTTATCCTTTTGTGACGCGAGCGAAGCCGCGGGTAAAAGCTAGTATTTTATATGATCGTATTGACGTAAACAAACAAACATATTTGCGATAATCACTCAAATACTCAATGAACAGTCGATTCGTTGACTTTTTTTAAAACTAAACTCTGTCATACTGCCAGCAGTTTTTAACAAAGGAGTTTTTATGACAAGTTTGTGATATAACGTATAATGGACTAGTGAAGGGTACGGAAGCGAATGCTAGTCGATTACCTCATGCATCGAGACAAATAGGTGTGTTCCAATCATTGTTTTGTTTGTTTATAAATAATATTATTCGTTCGTTGCATTAATCGTGACTTTGTGATCCATGCCAGTATGTGTTCCTAGTATATTTTTGTAACCCCCTGACACAATAGAGTGCTATTATTTTGACCTGTCTGTCCCTATATGTCTGATTGTGGCACCATAGCTTCTGAATGAATGAACCGGTTTAAGTGAGTGTTTCTTTAATGAAAAGTCTTGTTCGTCGCACTGATTTTTAGTTGTATTTTATAAAATCAGATAAGTAGCTTCAGAAATATTGTTAGGCACTTTTGTGAGTGGCTAATTCTTTAATTCTTTGCACTCACATAATCATATTTTTTCAATTGACACTTTTTCTTCTCAGGTTAGACTTGTCATTTCGTTTTATTACTTAATTATTATAATAAAAATGTCTGAAGTAGTGTAGAATTTAAAATTGATAAATATAATTATCAATTTTAGTACATGCCTTTTTGTACATACCTTAGGAATTTGATTACATCCTACGAAAACTTGCAGATATTTTATATCTATACCTCCACCCATACATTAGGTATGTATACGTACGTAAGAATGCATTACAGTGACGTTGACAGTTTGACACATACGTCAAAGTGTGGTTTGAAAACCGCAAAAAACGTATAATTACCATTAATTGTTTTAATTACAAGCGGTGTTTGTGAATGAAACTTAATTATGCTAGTTTGTAAGTTATGTATTAGTTAGTTACAGATTATCGTTATGGCCCGGAGGTTTAAGACGGCCGCTTCTCATCTATGAGAGTGCAGGCTCAAAACCTACCAACGGCAAGTACCAATGTGTCTTTTTCAGAGATATATGTACGTTCCAAGATTATATAGACACCATTGCCAAACATGGCGAGGAAAACTAGGCTTATAATTTCTAAAATCAAGCTTGAAATCGCCAACCCGCATTGAGCAAGCGTGGTGAGTAATGCTCAAACCTTCTCCGTGTCAGAAGAGGTCTTTGGTTAGGTTAGGTTAGGCAGTGGCCACTTATAGGCTGTTAATAATGATGAGTTACAAAGTAAATAACATTCGGTACTTGGTGTATCTAAATAAGTAAAAAATCTATTTATTTTTTAATGAAAACAAATAGTAATTGTAACAAGAAAAGGTTAAATGTTCTCGAGCCCATAAAGTTAGAACAATAAGTGTAATATTTGTTTTATTTCTAATATGACATTGTGATTGTTCTACCGATAAGTAACGGATTCAGTTTTAGAATTAGTAGGTGTTATAATGAAATAGGTGTTGGAGAAAGTAGAATGTAATTGATTTCTATGAAAATTTAAAATCGAATTAGTCCGTCAGTTGGGTAATGAAAAAATATTAGACACGTATGTTTTTATTTTGTTGTAAGTATAAGAATATTTAGATAAAATCAAAGTCTAGGAGTGGGAGCTAGTACGACATTTTTTAGCACAAAACGTACACAAAAGTATTTGTTTCAATAAGAAAATAAAAAATACGAATGTAATGTTTTTATTAGTCTACTAGACAGACCTTAAAAATTAAAATTAGTCATCTACCCTACCCTACCCTAGTAACTAAAGCGAGAGCAGTCATTCGATAATTTCCCCCCCTTAAAAATCCTAATAAATAACTACCCTGTTGTATGCCTTTATAAAGTAGGTAGGTAGTTATATTTTAACTCGTCGAGTACCGTATTTATAGACACAATTAAAGAACAATAGGTCGCGGTCACCGGTGACCGCTTGGTGTTTGACAGTTTAACAAAGAAAAAAACTGTCAAAAAGTTGTCTTGAATGGCAACCGAGTGTTATATTTACATAAAAAAATTAAGTTAAATATCCTAATGGAATATAGATTATTTTTAAACAAATATTCTTTACATAGTTTTGTTAAAAATATTAAAATATGATTAAAAACATACCTACAAGGCTTACTGTATGCAGTTAGAAGTACCTTCGCATTGCAACAGTTGCCAAGAATAGAACAAAACAAAGAAAGTTACACGGCCAAACATGGATTTATGTTTTGCTTTGTTTATTTAGCTGATATTAATTTGTCTTTACAAATAAATTAATGTAATAATAAACGATTTAGACGGTTAACATTTTTTTGTACAGGTAGGCACTATAAAAAAAATGAATGAATTTATGGTGGAATAAAAATAATATTTTAGATCTTAATTATGAAAAATTAGAAACGGTCAATGTGTAACGTCAAGATTTTTTAAATTACATAGTACACTTAATTTTATATTGATTACAAAATACAAATAAACCACTTACTTCAAATCATCGCACCTCACAGCGTACCCCGCCAAAAATATAAACAAAAAAGTTTTCATTTTTTTTTCTATCACGACACAACTCTTTCACTAGAAACTCCTTAAACTATTTTCCATATAAAAACAACTACAATTCACAACATGACATAAAACATTCGAATAAGAAGAAAAAAATTCGAATTTCGAAGTTTGAAAAAAGAAATACGTTTCGCGCCAATTTTGACGCGAGTGTCGAGTAGTGATGTGCGGTCGAGGCGCGCTCTCGACTCCACGTGTGAGTCGATTATGACAATATTAAATACTATAGTGGTCGATTGTCGGTTGTAGTTTAAGAGTCACGGTGGGTTTCGCGTATTTTATATGATACGTAAACATTGTGAATGAAGCTAGTAGTATTACACGGAAATGCTTGTGTGTTGATTAAAAATTAATCGTAGTATTTTTGATTAAAAAGTTTAAGCTATAGTAACAAATAATAGACGAAAAAAACATTTCACAAAAAATATCACGTTTTTAACTTAGAATTGACGACAAATATTTGAACGATCATTTTGAAATGCAAGTTTTTTTAATAGAATCGGGAGCAGACGGACTACTACTAGTAAACTATTATCGCCGTTCAAGGATATACAAAATACCGTAGAAGTTACTGATGATGCGTTGCCGACCTTTTCAAAAGTATTTTCACACATTTTAAACTAATTTATCAATATATTTTCATATTTATTTATTGACATATTTTAATAATTTAGTTCTATGACCCAAAAATACAATATCATCAATGTGTTTCTTAAAGTTGTTTACGCAACTATGTAATAACCCGACAAAACATCGATAACGCGTCTTATTTTTTATTCGATAAGCGAATTTAGTTAATAACAAAGTGTTCCCCGGAATTATTTCTTTTAATGAGTAAAATTCCATAATAATATTGGGATTCTTCTGTTTATAAATGACGTCATAGAGTTATTTATTACTTATGGACTATTTTTGTCGATGAATGTCGAGGTGATTAAGGACAATCGTGATTCGTGATGGAATTTAGGGAGCAATTGACCTTTTTTGGAATTTATATTTTAAACGGTGAACTTCTACAGTACCTACTATAAATTTCTACTATATTTTATACGTAATATATTATTATATCTGTACTTATTATAACCTTTGATAACGTAAAATACGCATTTTATTCTTCAAAAGGTTAAGCAGAGGTACGATACAGATTCAGTACCACATTTTCTTTTCAACAGTTATAATTATAATCTCACGTAATAAAGGATTGGCTTATTAGCATGTACGGATATAATATTCCAGCTTGCGTGCAAGAAGTTTTGATGAATTTAAAAATTAAATACTATACCTTACCTTGGAATTTAACCAAAGCCTCTTATTATGCAGTCGCAATCGAAATGAATCGACTAACGAGTCAGTGATGTAATATTGTACTAGGTAAATACAGTCATTAATCTATTGTCAATAATAATTTAAATGAGGATAAAATTAACGCTATATGGGTGCAGGTACAGATAAAGAATATGAACGACTTCAGTAACCGTGGGCGTGATTTAAGTAAGGCCTATGTTCTAAGTTTGATAACGTTCATTACAAGGCTAAAGAAGAGGCCAAAATATTAGGAGTGCTATATTGAAGAGCGTATAACCCCTAAGTTAGGATAGGTGACACTTAACGACATTAGTGTTTCCATCTATCTTATAAGAGACAACTAAAAGTATGAGTGAGGGATTAGTTTAGGTGCTCGCTAAGTAAGTCTTACTTTTAAGATGGTTTAGGAGTGGTTACTTGACCAGCCATTGTAGGCCACCACTTTGAGAAACGTAAGCATATTATTATGAAAGCTATATTTAATAGATAACAAGCATTGTCTAATTTTTTACATAGGTACTTTCGTTTTTTTTATGGAATAAGTCGGAAAACGAGCTGACGCATCACTTGATGGTAAGCAATTGGCGCCGCACATGGACACCTGAAACACTAGAGGTGTTACAAGTGCATCACTGGTCTTTTGGGAATACGGGGATTGGGGAGACTGGAGCCTTTGGTAACCTCACTCACACGACGAGATACATCGCAAAAGTGTTGTTTCGCGTCTGTTTTCTGCGAGGCCTTGGTATCACTCCGGTCGAGCCAAAACATGGCTCTCCCACACTTAAATGATAATATGTAATGTGATTAATTAAGATTTTTGACAGGCATATGGTGACAATAAGTACTTTGTATAATGTTAAAAAACTAGCAGTTTTGGATAATGCCCAAAGTGACACATGTTTTGTTATAAAAAAATCTGTTAGGAATACGCTATTGTGGAATTTTACCAATCTACAGAGTTGACTTGACATTGAATTATGATGTTTTGTTTTTTTATTCAATTTTTAACTAAGAAAAAAGACATCATTTTGTAAAGTCACTAGCAAATCTAAGTCAATTACATATATCGATAAAAATATTTTTGATTAAAGAGTGCATCCCTATTTGTGAACACTCGAACACTCCAAATTCAAAACTAATATTTTTGTCAAACGTGAAGTAAGAACAGGTGCTTACTTATTTTGATTAATGTATGTAGGTATTAATCAGCCTTTGTTCAAAGTAATTGTGCCTACGAAAATTGCGAATTGTTTTTAACCGACTTCAATAAAACAAGGAGGTTCTCAACTTGTATGTATGTTTGTACGCAATTATCTTGCGATCTTGATGCGGTTTTCTGTAAAGTGTTTATTACACTCAGGAGACGGTTTACTAATTAACCGACTTAAAAAAAGAGGGGATTTTAGTCGGTAATTTTAAACGTAGTTTATACATATAAAAGAATTGTGATACACTCATTACACATTTTTATTTATTCACTTATTCGTTTGCACACACATTCGTGTTATAGTATCTATATTATTTTACAGGATGAGACCTCGTTGGCTGAGTAGTCGCAAGTACGACTGCCGGGCAAGCAGTCTCGGGTTCGATTCCCGGGTCGGGAAAAATATTACTGGGTTTTTCATAAATTCCCAGTAGTAGCACGGAGTCTGGAATTGTGCCCGGTATATGGCAATAGGCTCACCCCCTATAACATGGACTCATAACATAAATAGTGAAAAGTGGGTGTTACATTGTACAGTGGCATTAAATGCCGTAATGTGTACCTCTGCCTACCTCTTCGGGGATAAAAGGCGTGATGTTATATTATGTTAATTATGAGACTAACCGCTTACCATCAGTCTACCCGTCTCCTCGTTACTATCTATATGAAGTATGGCGACTATTAATCAAACAATCCGTTGTCAATCCATTCTTTTACTACCCAAAACACTCAACCTGTCTCAATGTTCTATCTTTCTTTGTCAAACGACAAATAAATAAGAGGCATGACAAGTTAACAAAACCCTTACAATCGCCACGGAATGTATGCTATACAATACACATGGTATAATGTAAATCCCATAGATAATATTATGTTATGACAATACCCAGTGTTGGGGCAAAATGTTTGGTCACGACTTTGGTACAGTCAATGGTCTTAATCGGTGAATGTTGTGGCAAAGTTTTTTAGTAACAACAATAATAATAAAAAAAATACTGATTGGTATTCACTTATGTGACATATTCACACTTCCAAACATGTATACGTAAACACACACTTACATACACACCTACTACATACAGATACAATACACACGCACACACGCACGAACAACACACACACTTACTTACTCACTCACTCACTCACTCACTCACTCACTTACATACATACACACATACACAAACGTACACACCAAACTTTTTTGAAATATATACATTATTCTTATTTTTATTCTTATTGTTAAAATTGAAGTGTTTGTTCCAACGGCAAGTGGGTGATTATTAATAACATTTAAAACTTATATACCTTGCGTGTTTTATAGAGCTGTGTGATTATGTGTTGTATATATGTATATGTCATCATCATAACATCACGCCTTTTATCCCCAAAGGGGTAGGCAGAAGTGCACATTACGACACTTAATGCCACTGTACAATGTAACTCCCACTTTTCACTATTTATGTTATGAGTCCCATGTAATAGAGGGTGAGTCTATTGCCATATACTGGGCACAATTCCAGACTCCTTGCCCGACAGTCGCACTTGCGACCACTCGACAAACTAGGCAGTCATACAACGAAACTCCATACAACAAATGACACAAATCTTTGTATTGAGTACAGTAATTAAGTACTAAAGTTTTTATAACAATACGATTATTACTACCCCAGAATTTTTAGCGCCTTTTTAAACAAATATATTATGCTAAAGTAACCAGTTACAGGTCGATAACGAACATTGTTTTAACCGCCGACTGTACTTCAAACACATCCCCAACATAAATTCAACCTTAAAACAACTCTAACCTAAATTCACTAAGGTTCATTATTACACATCAACACAGATCACCCTATCGATTGTTATATTTTCTAGAACCCTACGTGCTCTGAATACGTGTTTACATTGAATGCTAAGTATGGCGGCGGCAATGAAACGCCTATAGATGGCTGTTTGTTTGTCACTTTCTCCTTCAAAGAGAGATTATATATCTATAATTATAGACAAATAAAATTGGAGTGTCTGTGTATATTAAAATAACCGCTTTTTACTACATTCATATGAATATACATACGATACACATAGCATATGTTGTGGTGGCCCGGTGGTTCAAGACACCTTCTCATGCATGAGGGTGCGGGTTAGAAACCTACCAACAGCAAGTACCAATGTGACTTTTTCCGAGTTACATGTACTTTCTAAGATTATTTGGACACCACTGACAAACGGTGAAGGATAACATCGTGAGGAAACCTGGACTTATAATGTCTAACTATAAAATTGTAATCGCCAACCCGCTTTGAGCAAGCGTAGTGAGCATTACTCAAACCTTCTCCGTGTGAGAAGAGGATTAGCTCAGCAGTGGGCACTTATAGGCTGTTGATGATGATGATGATGATGATGATGATGATGATGATGATGACACATGGCAAAATATATTTTTTACAATTTTTGTCTGTCTGTCTATCTG